TCCCACCTGCTTACCATGGTACTCATGAAGGCACCCTGTTCCTCTCTGTGAGCAGTGTCAAGTTCCAGTATCGATTAGCCACATTCTGTTAGACTGCCCTCCTATCAACGAGCACGCAGAATTACCTCCAACGTCGTCTTCGTTCTCCTACTCTCTCTTTACCTTCCCTTCTTGCTGATGGACCCTCCTTTAATCCTGACTCTCTCATTGACTTCTTGACAACGACTGATTTACTCCACAAACTCTGATGATACTTTTCACACTCCCCTCAGCCCTTTCTGGTTCAGTGTCTTGCTGCCCTTTACCCTTTCACCATCCACTGCCCCGCTGTTATCCGTAACCTGTTGCTCATCCATCTCCCTTTTGCCACCTGATGCCCTCGCTTCCTTCCTGCCCTGCAGCGCTGTATAGTCCTTGTGGCTTAGCGCTTCTTTTTGATTATAATAATAATAATACACTCAAATGAACATGTAAAAAGAAGGTGAATTTCCTGGGAGACTTGACATCAACAGGATTACATCAGCATTTACTGTAAAGGATAGAAGTGAACATAGATAAGAGTAAGGTAATGAGGGTATCAAACGATATAGGTAAAGAAAAATTGGATATCACATTGGAGGGAGGGATTATGGAAGAAGTGAATATGTTCAGATATTTGGGTGAATATGTTCAGATATATGAAGGAGGGGTGTTAATGTTGCAGTTTAAAAACTGTAGTGTAAAGCACCCTTCTGGCAAGACAGTGATGTAGTGAATGATGGTGAAAGTTTTTCTTTTTCGGGCCACCCTGCCTTGGTAGGAATCGGCCAGTGTGATAATAAAAAAAAAATAATTTGGGAGTAGACTTGCCAGTAGATGGGTTTATGAAGGAATAGGTTAACCATAGAATTGATAAAGGAAAAAAGATGAGTGGTGCATTGAGGTATCTGTGGAGACAAAAAGAGTAATTGATGGAGGCAAAGAAGGGAACGTATGAGAGTATAGTGGTATATGGGCGTGAAGCATAGGGTTGTAAATGCTGCAGCGAGAAGGTTGGAGGCAGTGGAGATGACGTATCTAAAGGCAATGTGTGGTGTAAATATTATGCAGAGAATTCGTAGTTTGAAAATTAGGAGGAGGTGTGGAGTTATTAAAAGTATTAGCCAGAGGGCTACAGTGAGGTTGTTGAGGTGGGTTGGTCATTTAGAGAGGGTGGAGCAAAATAGGATGACTTGGAGGGTGTATAAATCTGTAGTGGAGGGGAGGAGGGGTAGGAGTCATCCCAGGAAAGGATGGAGGGAAGGGGTAAAAGAAGTTTTGTGTGCAAGGGGCTTGGACATGCAATAGGCATGTGTGAGCGTGTTAGACAGAAGTGAATGGAGACGAATGGTTTTTGGGACCTGACGAGCTGTTGGAGTGTAAGCAGGGTAATATTTTTTGAAGGAATTCATGAAAACCGGTTAGCCGGACTTATTAAGTGGGAAGTACAATGCCTGCACTTTACAAGGGATATTTGGGACACTGACTGTTTGGAGTGACATCTGAAGTGTCGTATCTGAGCTACTCCGCAAAGACAGTGATTATGTGTGAATGATGGTGAAAGTGTTTCTTTCTTTTATAGGTCACCTTGTCTCCATGGTATATGTGGAGTCAAAGAACGTTATCTATGGAGGCAAAGAAAGGAATGTATGAAAGTATAGTGGTACCAACACTCTTATATGGGTGTGAAGCTTGGGTGGTAAATGCTGCAGCGAGGAGGCGGTTGGAGGCAGTGGAGATGTCCTGTCTAAGGGCAGCGTGTGGTGTAAATATTATTCAGAAAATTCGGAGTGTGGAAATTAGGAGGTGTGGAGTTAATAAAAGTATTAGTCAGAGGGCAGAAGAGGGGTTGTTGAGGTGGTTTGGTCATTTAGAGAGAATGGATCAAAGTAGAATGAACATGGAAAGCATATAAATCTATAGGGAAGGAAGGCGGGGTAGGGGTCGTCCTCGAAAGGGTTGGAGAGAGGGGGTAAAGGAGGTTATTGTGGTGAGGGGCTTGGACTTCCAGCAAGCGTGCATCAGCGTGTTAGATAGGAGTGAATGGAGACGAATGGTACTTGGGACCTGACGATCTGTTGGAGTGTGAGCAGGGCAATATTTATTTTATATAGTCGGACTTGAGTCCTGGAAATGGAAGTACAATGCCTACACTTTAAAGGAGGGGTTTGGGATATTGGCAGTTTGAGGGATTATGTTGTGTATCTTTAAACGTATATGCTTCTAAACTGTTGTGTTCTGAGCACCTCTGCAAAAACAGTGATTAGGTATGAGGTGAAAGTATTGAAGGATGATGAAAGTATTTTCTTTTTGGGGATTTTCTTTCTTTTTGGGTCACCCTGACTCGGTGGGAGACGCCGACTTGTTGAATATATAATATATATATATATAAATATATATATATATATATATATATATATATATATATATATATATTTTTTTTCTTTTCTTCAACAAACCGGCCGTATCCCACCGAGGTAGGGTGACCCAAAATAAATCACTCACCATCATCAACACTTTCACCATCGTTCACACATAATCACTGTCTTTGCAGAGGCGCTCGGATACGACAATTTTGATGTCACTCCAAACAGCCAATATCCTAAATCCCTCCTTTAAAGTGCAGGCATTGTACTTAACACCAGGACTGAAGTCCGGTTAACCGGTTCTCCTGAATCCCTTCACAAAATGTTACCCTGCTCACACTGCAACAGCTTGTCAGGTCCCAAAATCATTTATCTTCATTCACTCCTAACACACTCACAAATGCCTGCTGCATGTCCAAGCCCCTTGCACACAAAACCTCATTTACCCCCTCCCTCCATTCTATCCCAGTACGACCCTACCCCTCCTCCCCTCCACTACGGATTTATACACCCTCCAAGTCATTCTATTTTCCTCCAATCTTTCTAAATGACCAAACCACCTCACCAACCCCTCTTCAGTCCTATGAATAATAATTTTAGTAACTCCACACCTCCTCCTAATTTCCACACTACGAATTCTCTGCATATTTACACCACACATTGCCCTTAGACACCACCACTGCCTCCAACTTTCTTCTTGCTGCAGCATTTGCTACCCATGCTTTCACACCTATATGAGAGTGTTGGTACCACTATACTCTTTGCATCCATAGATAACGTTTTTGGTCTTCACAGGTACCTCAGTTCACCACAAACAGTTTTTATTTCGTCAATTCTTTGGTTTACCTCGTCTTTCATACACCCATTCGCTGATAAGTCTTTCTTCTTTCTTTCAACGCTCTTGCCGTATCCCACCGAGGCAGGGTGGCCCAAAAGAAAAACCAAAGTTTCTCCTTTTATATTTAGTAATATATACAGGAGAAGGGGTTACTAGCCCCTTGCTTCCGGCATTTTAGTCGCCACTTATGACACGCATGGCTTATGGAGGAAGAATTCTGTTCCACTTCACGATGGAGACACATAATAAGTCTATTCCCAGATATTTGAACACATTTACTTCTTAAATACTCCATGCAATCTCATATCCATTTTGTTTTACCTAACTAGTTTGATACCTTCATCACCTTTCAACGTTTTTCCTGGAAAGTAATCTACCTCTCTCCTACACACCCTAACCTGAGCCTCACTGTCCTCATAAAAACTCTTTACAGCATTTAGTAATTATATTTCTTATTCCATACACTTAAAATCTGCTACATTGCTCCCCTGTCCACCCTATCATATGCCTTTTCTAAATCCATAAAAAACAATGAAAACTTCCTACTATATCTAAATATGTTCACTTATATGATTCAATGTAAACACTTGGTTTACACATTCTCTACCATTCTAAAGCCTCCTTGTTCATCTGCGATCCTGCTCTCCGTCTTACTTCTAATTTCTTTCAATAATAACCTTATATATGTACAGTTTACCTGGTATACTCAGTAAGCTTATTTCCCTATAATTTTTACATTCTCTTTTGTCCCCCCTTTCATTTATATGAAGGAACCATGCACGATCTCTGCCAATCCCTAGGTATCTTCAACTTTTTCATACATTTGAGAAAAAGTACTAAGCACTCCAAAACTATATCCCCACCTGCTTTTAACATTCCTGTCATGATCCCATCAGTTACAGTGCTTTAGCCCCTTTCATTCTACCCAAATGCCTCACGCACCTCCTCACACTCACATCCGGCTCTTCTTCACTCCTGGCCAATGCATAAAATTACTGCCTCCCTCTCTTCATCAACACTTAGCAGTTCCTCAAAATATTCCCGCAATCTTCCCAATACATCCAACTACCCATGGGGAGTTGAATGATAGCTCTAGGCCTTTCGTGTTTCAATCAATACATTTTCAATGGTTTGCAATATTGCAGAAATGAGTAGGAAGTCCAGGTAGATTCGTTCAGGGGAACTGCTCTACAGCATATGAACGGTATATGGCACCATCATATTACTAATAGAGTGCATGCAGCACCACGTATACTAATATTTGTATTCACAGCACAACCAAACTATCAATATCAGTGCACAAAGCATTACATCTATGTATGAAGCCTCATCATATGCACTACATTTATTTATGAAGCCTCATAATTTGCACCATATCTATGTATGAAGCTTCATCATTTGCACATGTATAAAGTCTCATAATTTGCACCACATTTATATATATGAAGCCTCACCACATGTGTATGATGTTCATCATCTGCAAAATATGATATGCTGTCCATTATTATTGTAATGTTGTATAGTCCTTGTGGCTTAGCGCTTCTTTTTGATTATAATAATATTATTGTAATCATAAATAAGCGCCCATACGCGCTTAGCGCTCCATGAAATTTAAACCACCATCGTGTTTAGCGAAGCGCTTAAGTGAAGATGTCACATACAACAGTAATTTTCACACTACTGTATTCATTTGAAAGCGCTAAACCAGAATGGGTCACAGCGCCTGAAGAATGGGAAGCAACCAGGTTTGACTCGATGAAGGAATTACTCCAATTCCTCGGATCAAGAAACTTCTGAAGAGAGCAAAAATTCTTGCAACTTACCTGATATTTCACATCATATGAGTCTGCCCTACTGGAGTCCTGAGGCAGTACCCAGGACACATCGAGTCTTCTTACGGCTTCACTCATCACTGACACGACGGGCTGGCTGGGTGCTGCACAACATATAATAGACGGATTTGTATAAATCTGATTTTTTTTAACGCCTTGCTTCCCCTTAAAAACTTATTTTTCGTTTATTTCCTAGTAATATTCTTGATATGACCAAAGTCTGCCTGAAATACACCGGCTTTCTTTTGTGCTCAATTAACAGTATTTTATTACATGTAAACTACATTTTATATACTGAAGAAAAATAAACCTGTATTGTACTGAATTGTATAAGATGCAGTGTGTTTGTTGAACTTGACTTAATAAAAATTGGATCTTATATGACGGAAAATACAGATACTTGTAATTACAACATCTATTAGAATTTGCAGGGAGCGAGCTAAAGTTCTTGATCCTGCCTCTCGACTCTCAATCGACTTGACATAACAGAGCCTTGTCATGTCTTCCACTGTATCATTGCTGACCTTTTTCCACTTACTTTCCTCTTCTACAATTAAGAACTACATCTTAATGTCCATGTGGCTCATTTAGGTTTGTAATTTCCAGTAATCAACTGCCCCCACTCCTTTTCTTGTTGTGTTTCTGGTCAAGAGTTTATCCTTGTCTACCCTGTCTATGCCTTTTATTTAACATGTGATAATATTCCCTCTTGTTCTTCGCCCCTCCAATGAGATTAAACCTAGTTATTGGTGGATGCTGAGCAAGTTACTTGGTTAGACACAAACATAAAGTCATATTCTATATAAAACCATTTTCTGAGTGCAGTCACTTGAAATCAAGACTATTGATCAAGTCATTACAGATGTGAATTAAATATAGGATTATATGATCATTTTACACAAAAGGAGTTGCATCAGCCAAGGACATTAAGGAAGGTTAGGTAAGCTGTCCAAAAAACCTCTACATACTCGAGACTAGGTGCAGGCCAGTGTCCCTGTGTAGGCACTAAGTACCTGCGGGGGGGGGGGGTCAGAGTAAGCAAGACTTTGGGGTAAAATCCTTACACTGCGATCATTGAGTCAGCTGTAACATTTACAGTGAGTTGAACACTTGTTAAAAACTACAATATACAGAATATTCAACAAATTTGTTACCATTTGGAAGTGTAGAGAACACATTACTGATAACAAATAACTCTCCTGTTCCATTTTTTCTGGCGATGACTGTAACGTTATATTGAGTGTCAGGCTTCAGATTCTGCAGGTCAAAAGGTGGTCGTAGAATTATCTCGTTCTGAAAAATTTTCTTGGACGTTCCGTTTATCAGTTGCACCTGATAGAGTATACCACATCGTTCATGGTTCCCTGGATCTGTCTGTAATAACACAAATTCACTACTGTCACACTGACAAAAATATTCATATATAATAACAGCCAAAATTGATGAAATTAATGAATTGATAAATTATATTACAACACATTACATCATTCTCAATTAAAGTATAAGACCCACTGTCAAGAGATAATAAATAAAATTAAATATATAAACAGTTCCAGTGAAAAATAGAGTTTACATCTCTGCATATATATAAAACACTTTAACATAGAGATAAAACTTCTCAAAGTCACCCTGTGCCTTGGCAGGAGACGGCAGATGAGGTAAAAAAATGCTTTCACATTTTTTAAAGAGTAAAATACAAAGTAAATTATATAAATACAATGCAGATGTACACTAATTCCCATTATCTTTGTTCAATAACATGTGCTGCACAATTAACTATTATGTACACAAGAAAAGTCATTTTAAACCCGCTTTACTAGATAATCCAAAACAAGCTCTGTGAGATGTCAATATATCTCGTACATGTTGGGAATCAAACTGAGTTTATATAATTACAAACACATTTTTTTGAAAAAGTGAACCGGTAAGCCAGCAGAAGGCCTCGGTCAGATGACATAAAATTCCAGCTGCGGGTCATCATACAACTAAGGCCTGCGTGAGGAAAGACTTGTCCTGTTTCCTGACAAACCTCACCTATCCTAATCAAATTGTGCATGGCCATAGCATATTTCCAGCCATTATAATCCCTAACTATGAGGCTATAACATCCACACACTATCTTATATCAATATACTTAACATTAATACTGAAAATTTCATACCCAGTTCACAACAGCAGAGTGATTGGTGACTTCAACCTCAATATTCCCAGCTACTGGATCTAAAAGAAAAGTGTATATTAGTTGATTGATATTCTTGTTTTTATAAGATCAATTCGCAAACTAGATGTATTAAACTGTCGAAATTGCGGCACCCAAATAACGGCACACTCTACCTAACGGCACACTGAAATAGCCGCCATTTATACAGCGCCCATTTGTGAGGTTCACCTGGTTTACACATAACATGCTACAGTATAAACAGCATGCTACAGTATACACAGCATGCTACAGTATACACAGCATGCTACAGTATACACAGCATGCTACAGTATACACAGCATGCTACAGTATACACAGCATGCTACAGTATACACACCATGCTACAGTATACACGCATGCTACAGTATACACAGCATGCTACAGTATACACAGCATGCTACAGTATACACAGCATGCTACAGTATACACATAACATGCTGCAGTATACACATAACATGCTATAGTAAACACACAACATGCTACAGTATACACATAGCATGCTGCAGTATACCCATAGCATGCTGCAGTATACACATAGCATGCTGCAGTATACACATATTATTAATATAATAAAAAAGAAGCGCTAAGCCAGCAGTACACACATAGCATGCTGCAGTATACACATAGCATGCTGCAGTATACCCATAGCATGCTGCAGTATACACAGCATGCTACAGTATACACATAACATGTTACAGAATACTCATAGCATGCCACAGTACACAGAGCATGCTACAGTAAACACATATCATGCTACAGTATACAAGGCCATTTTACCTTTGCTGTAGATGTAATTAATTAGAGAAAGTTAATAACTCAGAGAAATGTCTCGTAAACTTGCAAGTGAAGTGAAGAAAAAACGAACAACATTAAATCTTATGTGACAAACTTAACTTGATATAATAAACAAGAGAGGGGAGAGGATAAGAAGTGTGTTAATGACAGAATATAACATTGGATCGTCAACATTGTAAAATATTAAACAGTCAAAACAAAAACTTTCTAAACAACGGAAGAGTCGAAATAACGGCACTTTAATCCCCAAGGGTGCCATTATTCAAAAAGTTTACTGTACAATATTGTTACGCGGGTAAAAAGGAATTTCGTCAGCACTACAGGAAGTGAAATCGGGTATTAATAAAATCCTTACCGACACATTCAGTAAAAAAGGTAACATTGTGAACTCTTTTGTTGGTGGAGCCATCAGCAGCACCAAGAACAGTCTCCAGCAGCACCTTCATCACGTAGTTGTAACCAGGATCAAGGTGTTCGATCAACTCTATGGAGAGTACATAGGTAATAATTAAAAAAATCTTTTATAAAGTTTACCTCTCTATTGTGTTATTCATGTTATTCATGGCTAGTGAGAGAAATAGATGAACAAACTTCAAACAAAGCTTATACATTCGGTACCTTCCTGATGAATACAAGTCTAAAATAATACACAAAAACCCTCACATAGAAGAAACTTATAACGACGTCTGGGATCATTAATCACAGGAACTAGTTATAGTGATTAGTTAATGGTTCAAGTCAGACCGAAACGTCGTTGTAAGTTTCTTTCTCCCATGTGCGGGTTATCTGTGTATTGTTCCAGTGGTGGTATTGTGACTTTATTCTCTACAACAATACATTCATCTGTACCTTCTTATTATCAGAGCACTATGTGGAGCTACTTTCTTTTTTCCTCATTCCATACATTCAGTAACTTTTCAATTTTACTTGGGTACAGTGAGCTATTAAATTCTTTTGACCGGATGACAGTTTGTATTATGGTACTGAATATAAATGCTGTTAGTTTTTTAATCATTTCCATTTGTACGAATAGTTGATTCATTCACACAAACTCACGGTTAGTTTCCATCACAAATACACCACTTTTAAGACTATTAATACAGTGCTTCCATTTTCTTTACCAAGTCACAGAATCACAATCTGTTTTTCTTGCATTAGGAGACACACAGTACCCACAAACTGATTCGTCAGGAAACAGGACAATTGTTTCCCGACGCAGGTCTTCTTGTAGAGGCATGAGGATGAAAACATATGGGAGCCAGAGGAGAAAGACGGTAGTTGAAGACATCACATGTGGGTGCGGCCAACTAGTGGAAGTAGGTAAAATCGATAAGTTGAGCCACAAATTTACCAGTTGCAAAAGATGTAGAAAGATGCAGCAGTGGTCACTGGTGGACCACTATAAGGGAAGCCAGACGTAAGTAATAGAGTTGTAAAAGTTAAGTCGCTTCCATGAAGCACATCCAACTACAAGTGTTTTATAGAAATGATACAAACAAACAAAAGCTTTTAGAACTACCCCTTGCAAAAACAAGATGCAAATTTTAAATTATAGTACACACACCTGAAATTAATTGCTTACAAATAGAGTAGTAAATGGTCGGATGAAAGAGAAGGTATGTAGCAAAGGTACAGGAAACATTAAACATATTAATATCAACTATTTAAGAAAGCACGCCTATGTAAACTAAAATATGTAATTAGTATATTCAGTCAACTGTACCTTCACGCAGGCCTGACACCACAATGGCACTCAAAGTTTTCATATCCATCCAAGTGTCATTATCCTCCCTCTGGAACTGAAGGCGGTAACTTATAATAATAATGTTATTAGATCCATCATCTTTTTCACGTGTCCAAGCTGAGAAACTCACTAAAACTGAAGTCTGGTTTACGACGGTCACTGACGGCGGAGTTCGCAGACGAGGTAAATCCCAAGGTCTTTTACCTATTATATATTGAAAATCAGTTTTAGCCACCAAGACACAACACTTCATAATATAGGCAGACATTAACAACAATGACAAAATAATTACCACACTTAAGGCTAGACTTGAACACGTACACAGCCACAAATTTATGACGAAGAATCATGTGAGAGGAAAGTCATTAATATATTTTACAATAAGAAAATTAATGTAAATCCTGAGATGTTTATACAGAATTCCCATTAACTCTATTAACTGTGATACACACAGAATAGATGCGAGTCACAAATTTACCGTAATTTTCAAATTAAATATTCGTATATTTCATCTTTTCGCAACATCCGACCCTGCAGCGCTGTGGCCCTTGTGGGTTTAGCGCTTAGTTTAGATATTAAAAATAGAATTAATAATTAAACTAAATAGTGACTAAAAACATACCACTACAAAGATTGTCATTTTTTGCAACTCCTTTTGCATGTCCGCTTACTGGGTCACAGTCGTTGTCTGAGCAGTAGTGACAAGGTTGGGAACAGTCAGCACCATACCATCCTTTACCACACCCTGTTAGATTACACCCGAACCATAAAATGTCAAAACAAGGAAATACATTAGCAACACTACGATAACAAAACACATCAAGGTAAATATATTGAACAATAGCCTTAAGATAAACTAGATTACAAAGAGAGAAAGTATTATTATAGTAATTTTAGAGAAAGTATAAAAAAAACAAGTATTTCAAACAACAGACAATAAGACAATATATGAGGAATTTAACATCACACAAAAATTGGAATTAAACAGTTAATTCCAAAACTGAGAAGGAAAAGACAAATAAATAATTCAACAGTAATTAATAACACGACTCGTGAATATAAACAAAACTTTGAACCAATAGATTAAAATTCAAATTCAATTCAAATTCAAAGTTTATTCTCTATAAGGATTACAATGCTGAGTTTACAGAAATTGGGTTATTGTTTGGTTTACATGTAGTAAAATTGTGATTACAGAGTGTACCACTAGAACGCTTAGCATGGCTAGGCATTTCGGGCATACTTAGTTTTATTCTTAATTGTAAAATATTACAAATTATGAGGTAAGTTGGTATTATGGCTAAGTGACTAAATACTAGTTTGTGAGTTTAGAGCAATGTGAATGCTTTTGTTTTGGCACAGGACATAGTTTTCAGTATTGGAGTATCACAGGATTCATTATTTTAAGACTGAGATTAATATTTCTGTTTATGGTCAAATGAGTGAGTGAGTGTAAGTGTGAACCACCAGGTGGTATCGTGTAGTTAGTTGACAGGGTGTATCAGGGAGATAAGATGTTTTCTAATGGTAGTTTTGAAGGTGATGAATGTGTCTGCAGTTCTAGAGTTCTCAGGTAGGTATCCAGATTTTAGGGCCTTTGACATTACTTGAATTTTTGTAAAGTTTAGTCGGACACGGGGAATGTCGTAGAGATGTTTGTGTCTGGTGTTATGCCTGTGGGTTCTGTCACAACTATCAAGAAAGTGTTTTAGGTCAAGGTTGATATTGGAGTTTAAGGTCCTGTAGATGTAGATTGCACAGTAGTAAGTGTGGATGTACTGAACTGGGAGCAAGTATTAGATCTATGAAGAGTGGGGGGGGGGGGTGTTGCCAGGATGGGATTTAGTGATTATTCTTACTGCAGCTTTTTTGTTGGGTTATTATTGGCTTTAGGTGTGTTGCTGCAGTTGATCCCCAAACACAAATAGCATAGGTGAGGTATGGATAAATAAGTGAGTGGTATAGTGTGAGAAGGGCATTTTGCGGCACGTAGTATCGTATCTTGGAGAGGATCCCAACCGTTTTGGATACTTTTTGGCTATATGCTGGATATGGTGCTGAAATTCAGGTTGTTGTCAAGGTAAAAGCCTAGGAATTTTCCCCCATTATTTCTGGTAATTAGGGGGTTGTCAATATTAATTTTAATTCGTGCATATCCTGCTCTGCTACCAAACATAGATAGTAGGTTTTGTCGTGTTAAGCGTTAGTTTTATTGTGCTGTCATTCCAAGTCGATATTTTATTCAGCTCCCTTCATCACAATGGTGTTGAGGGTGGCAAATTAGGGTGTGAGATGACATAAGCGTGTCATCAGGCAAAGAGGAATTGGGGTTTTCAAGGTGTTGGGAACGTTTGGAAGGTCATTGATGGTATATTGAGGAAGAGCAGGGGGACCAAGGACACTTCCCTGCGGAACTCCCGTATGCAGTGGCCGTGTTGCTGATGCTGTTGTCTTTTATGGTGACGTACTCGAATACCTTTAGTAATGTAAGATTTGAAATAAGCAATGCGCATGGACTCTTATTCCGTATTGATCAAGTTTGTGGTGTAGGTTGTCGTGGTCTACTGTGTCAAAAGCTTTTCTTAGGTCAATAAAAATTCCTAGTGGATATTCCTTATTTTCCAATGCTGTGTTAAAGCAGATCTAGCATTTTTTTATGATTGCATCATTAGTGCTTTTATTTTTCCTGAATCCAACTGGCGGGGTTGAGTATGAACCATAGCCGTTTTATAGAATACAGTCTCCTGTGCACGAGTTTCTCAAATGATTTTGGGATAGCAATGGTTCCAAGAGTTAGTATTGGCACCCTATAGTTGTTTTACCGTCTGTAGGGTCACCACTTACTGTTATTGGCTGTAACCCTTGCCATCGTGAGTTAGTTTCGGGAGAAGGTGATAGTCTCTATTGAATTCGTTAAAAAGTAATGAAATAGCATAAGAACATTAAGAAGAACATAAGACGAAAGGAACACTGGCAGAAGGCTACTGGACCATGCGTGGCAGGTCCAAGTCTCCTACCGGCTTAAGCATTGCAACCAAACATCGTCAGGTTCAGGTCAACCATTGTCTTAAGGGAGAACACGGCAACCGACCTGGTAGCACAAGCTATCAGGTTACTCCACACCCACCCAATCTAATCATGTATTTTATCCCAACTATTTTTAAAGGCTACACAACGCGTTCTGGCCTCTTTAACCGGTACTTGGGAGTTTGTTCCACTCATCCAAAATCTCCTATTACCAACTGTACTTTCCTATATCCCTCATGAATCTGAATTTTTCCAAATTAAAACCATTGCTGCGAGTCCTGTCTAGGCTTAGATATTTTCAGCACACTATTTACATCCCCTTTATTTATTCCTGTCTTCCATTTATACACCTCAATCATATCCCCCCTAATTCAAACGTCTTTCTAGAGAGTGCAGTTTCAGGGCCCTTAGTCTATCCTCATAGGAAAGGTTTTTCTGATACATGGGATCATCTTTGTCATCCTCCTTTGTACATTTTCCAGAGAATTTATAATCCATTCTGTAATAAAGGTGACCAAAACTGTGCAGCATAATCTAAATGAGGCCTAACCAAGGATGTTTTAGAGTTTTAAGAACAACCTGAGGACTCCTATTATTTATGCTTCTTGATATGAAGCCAAGGATTCTATTAGCTTTATTGCGAAAAACTTATGCACTGTTGTCTTGTTTCAGATTACTGCTAACCAGAACTCCCAAATCTTTTTCGCAATCCGTTTAAAATTAAGATCTACATTATTTAGTTTATATGTGGCATGGTTATTGTCCTGTCCAACATTTAAACTTTGCATTTTTTCTATATTAAACTGCATCTGCCACTTCTCCGACCACTGCATTAGTCTATTCAAATCTTCCTGGAGTGCTCGAATGTCCTCGTCAGAATGAATTCGACGGCCTATTTTGGTGTCATCCCCAAACTTGCCGATGTCGCTCTTATGCCCTCATCTATGTCGTTTATGTAGATTGTGAACAGCAGGGGGCCAAAAACTGACCCCGTGGAACACCGCTCGTGACGCTTCCCCACTCTGATTTCTCCCCATTTAGCAAACTCTCTGCTGCCTATTTTTCAACCATGCCTCTATCCAGGAAAAAATTTCTCCTCCCATTCCATGTGCTTTAATTTCCTCAATAGTCTCTGATTTTGGGGCCCTGTCAAAAGCCTTACTGAAGTCCTATACACAAATATCATATTCATTACCATGATCTACCCTCCTCAAAAACCTTAGTGAAAAAAGTTAATAAATCGTTAAGGCAGGAACCCCTTTGTAAAACCAATGCTGAGATTCGTTGATTAATTTTATGCTTTTCAAGGTGGCTACGAACTGCCTCGGCAATTATTGATTCCATAAATTTTCCCACTATGGAGGTTAGGCTTATTGGTCTATAGTTCAAGCTAAGGACCTGTCACCTGTTTTGAAAATAGGTATCACATTTGCCATTTTCCACTTATCTGGCACCAGCCATTTGTAGTGATATGTTTGAAAAGATTAGCCAAAGGTGTGCTAAGCTCCTCTTTAAAATTCTTTAGAACCCTTTCATACAGTTCATCAGGCCTGGGATTTGTTAGGTTTTAATTTATCTATTTGCCAAGGGCCATGTCACTTGTGACCCTAATAGTGCACAGTTTATTATCGTCCTGTTTTACATAATTTATCATTATTAATATCGCGGTATCCTCCTGTGTAA